TCTTGCCCGGCATGGCCCCTCCCATTGTACCTATGATCCATCCTCAGGTTGCTATTGCTGCTTCACCTGCTACGTTGGCTGGAGCAACAGCAGTCTCTGAGTGGACGGAGTACAAAACAGCAGATGGAAAGACTTACTATTATAACAATAGAACTTTGGAGTCAACATGGGAAAAACCTCAAGAACTGAAAGAAAAAGGTGGTTTGTTTTGGTTTTGTGTTTGTTTTTTTTTTTTAATACAGCTGTATACTAAGTAAAATTACTTAGACCATTAATAGTTGTGTTTGAAAATGTGAAAGAGAATATTTCTAATCTCCCTTAAGAATATTTTTAAATCCTGATATAAGTATCCATTTGAGTTGGTCTTGAGTCTGAAAGTTATATTTTCTTTGTTTCCCACTGTGTTGTAAAAGTATTTGGTTCTAGAGTTGCTTCCAAATCCTGTGACACTTGGGTAAATGTGTGCTTCCACTCCAGTAGAAAGTAAGTACTTTACGTACTCACGTGTTTGAGAAGATCCCAATTGCAGAAAGATAGAAAGTGAGGGGAAAATACAGTTACTCTAAAGACTGTAAAGCAAAGAAGAATGGAGATCGTTGGAATGCTAAATTTCACATCTTCAAAAACTAAGTATATAAACAGATTTGGAATATGAGGAAAAAATAACTTACACCCCCTGTATGTGTCCCTAAGTCATATTCTGGTCATACTCCACGACTTATTTATTTGAATCCACATTATATCCATGGATGGTGTTATATTGGGGGGAAATTGTTCTTGTATCATAAATAAGGAAGAAGGGGCAAAAATCTTGTGGCTTTTATTCAGTTTATAAAGTCTTTTAGGAAAAAAAAAATCCAGTTGGACCCAAATAGTTCTTTCTTTTATTGTCTGCTGAATTTTTCAGTTACAAAAAATCTTCGTTTAGACAAATTCAGAACGCTTACGCATTAGCTACTTTAATACTCATCTTTCTAATAATCCAGGTTTAAATAATAAGTCGTCTTTTTACTGATGTGAAAACATCTAAGACAGCAAATATAATCTTTACTCAGCAAAATTGGTACATTTTGTAATTTTTTTTTAAACGGGTGCAGAGCAATCCTCAGATGATTTTCCATGATTTTTCTCTGATTTTATGGTTGGGTTTTTTTTGTCAACAGCATTTCAAATCTGAAAATGGTCTTCTGTCTTGCACGGTTTGGTTGCAACTGTTGATAGATATTTTTATTAGTGTTCCAGCTATTTCTGTTGATACACTTTAGTTAGCTTTTTAATATAGTAGGCTGCCTTACAATATTTTGTTTTCCAGTCCCAAGTAGATCTTGGTATAGGAGACAATCACGTCTTTAAGCAGACACTGTAAAGCCCAAGAAGGACAAAAAGTGGTGAAAATACATTAAAAATAAGTTTTGTTTTGCTGTTGTACTTGGCAAATCATACTGATAAAAATAAATTTATTGTAGTTCTATAACAGTTTCTTAAAAAAACTAAGGAAAATGCTATCTTTATTTAGAAAAAATGGAAGAGAAGATTAAAGAGCCAATTAAAGAATCTACAGAGGAGCCTTTACCAATGGAGACAGAAGAAGAAGAACCAAAAGAAGAACCTATAAAAGAACTTATAAAGGAGGTAAAAGACCTTGCAACCAAATAGTCAGTATCGCCATTTTGAATCATACATCCTACAGGTGTGGATGCATCTGTAGACCAGGCATATTGACAGGAGACATGGTTAGTAATTTGAGTTCTTAAATTCCTGGGGTGATTTTGAAAGCCTTCCTTTTTGGACTCATAGCTCTTTTTCTTTTTTTTTCCTTTTTTTAATTAATTTTTTTACATAAGAAAAAATTGGCATTTAAAAGGAAAATACAGAGTATGTGAGTTAAGAAACTAGTAAGAACATGGAAAAAAAGCGGATTATATAGACATGATGTTCTCTTGCTGATTTTAAGGTGTTCAGAAAAATGAAACTTGTCCTGAATGTTTGAGGTTTTTAATAGCTTTTCTCTATTTCTTTCCTTCTTTATTTTGAACAGTTTTGAAGCAAAGCTTACACATTCTCCATGTGCTGTAACTGATAAGTTTAGTCTGTTAGGAATGTGTTAGGAAGAGTAGAAAATGTCTGTAGTGTTTACATTGCAGTAAACAAAATCAACTTTTTTTGTTGTTAGGGATTTTGTCATGCTGAGAAAGCGTAGTTCTTGAAGATGCTAAGGTGTTTAAATAAAAATTAAAGCTTTTGTACTGATTTCTGTGAACTTCAATGTAGCTTAGTAGTCAAAAGCACAGAATTCAGTGGCTGTTTTTTATTACCACTCTACCCTGTTTACTTTTGAGGTAGTTGCTAGTTTCCTTATTTCTGCTACAAAGGTTATTGCAGATTTTTGACTGTTTCATACTCCAGGTCTCATTTTCAAGTAAATCAATTTTAAGAATAAAAGTTTCTTTGTAAGAAACTACACCCTTGCCCCTGTATTCAGGCCTTGATTCAAGGATTCATGCAGATCTAGGAAGGCATATATATAAGGTTTCATTGAAGTCAAAAGTTAAGTAAACATTCAGAGGTTTTTCTGAAGCGAGATTTTTTTTTTTTTTAATGTTGAAACTCCATTGCTTCTGTTGTAAGCATGGATGAAGTGCAATTGTGAGCTGTTTGTGAGCATTGTTTCAAAATACATTTCCTTGTTTAAAACAAGTTAGTTACTTTGTAATAAATAATTAGCTAACTGTCATTGCCTGAATCCTGTACCCTGTTTTTCCCTTGAGGAGCCAAAAGAGGAAGAAATGACTGAAGAAGAAAAAGCAGCTCAGAAGGCCAAGCCAGTTGCAACCACTCCTATTCCAGGAACTCCATGGTAGGTAACGGTTTTCCCCCTGGCCTGCTACTGTGGGGCTGAAGCATCATTTCCTGTAGCCACCGGGAAGGTTGCTGGGTAGTCAGAACAAGTGATAGTGTGTGAAGATCCTGTTCTTGGTATGCTTCTGACTCAAATAACACTGGATTCCTCCAGCCAACGCTGTTCGCACTGTGCCTGTACTCAGGGTGTTCAGTGGTGTGTGTATAGCCTTTCTGCCACGTGCTGACTGCAGTCCTGTGAGGTACGTTAACTGCGTACCTTTCATATCCCAGATCCCTTCGTCTGCCACCGATTCCTCCTGATCTGCTGTGGAATGATGGCAAAAAAAATATCTTGGACTTCTTTTGCTTTTATGCCTTGGGGAACAAATAGGTGTGGCTGCTGGCCAAAAGAATCCTTTTTTTTTTTTTCTGCATGTTTTTTTTTTTTTTTTAACTTGGCATAGATGCTCATCAGGTGCCGGTGTGTATAATGTCATGATAAGGTTAGTCTTGCTGTAATGTACGTAAATCATCTTTGTGTGTTTGACCAAGGTAAAAATCTTACTGATGGGAAAGGGATATTATTTTAACTTTTCGCAATTTAGCCATCAATGCTTTTTTAATTATGTTGGATATTTAAAACAGTCTCCCTTCAAATTATCTCTGTGGTTCTTTCATCCAGTCATTTACAAAATTCTGGCAAGATTATTAGGTTGCTTTTTCTCATATTTTGCGGGGCATTGAAGAGATGGGGTATGTTTTATCCAAAAATCTGATTCAGCTGTCTAAAATGTTTTTTTTAGAGAAGAACTGAGTATACTGCAGCTCCTGCTAAAAAGCATTTTTAAAACTGCGTTTCAAATCAGGTAGCAGAGAAAAGCGATAATTCAGTATCCCATCTGGACAGTAGGAATGTCTGGTAGTTCAGCAGTAAGTTTTAACCTGGATCTGTCTTGTGACCATTATGCTTGCTTCAGTCTTTGAATATGGTAACAGGTATACAGCATGAACGAAGACAAAGATAATACAAGACTTCCTGTCTGACACTTAAATTTCTAGGTGTGTGGTGTGGACTGGTGATGAGCGTGTTTTCTTCTATAACCCTACCACTCGTCTTTCTATGTGGGACCGACCAGATGACCTAATTGGAAGAGCTGATGTGGACAAAATTATTCAAGAACCTCCTCATAAAAAAGGAATGGAAGAAGGAAAAAAACTTCGTAAGAGCAACCTTATTGCCTTCTTAAGGAGTCTCAGTATAATTTATCGCTTATTTTGTGTTGATTTCCGGAGCTAGTAACATTTAAATAAATGAGAGAAATGCAAGAACATACCGAAAAAATGTGTCTAGCTTTGGAATTTAAGGAGGCTGGTGGGAATGCAGATTTATAGACTCCTTTGGAAAAGAAAAAAACCAGACTGATCAAGAAAGTAGATACTAACAAAGTTAATTTTCTTTTCTAAATGCCAACAGGCTGAAACCCCCCCCCCCCAGTTTTTACTGACTAAAAAAAGGGACTGTGTTTGTTTTATGAGCAAGAGGAATTTGGGGGCCAGAAAAAGATTAATCATAATGTACAAATGGGCTCTCACAGAAGAGGATTTAACTTAGAGAACATCAACTGGAATACAGTTTTGGAAACAGCTGCCAAGAGCAGAGAACATTCAAGAGGCTGCTGAGATGAGACTTCTTTCTAGCATGAGTTCTAGTAAATGATCCTGGGATGGCATGTGGGCTTGGTAGTTGGAGGAGATCAAAGTGCAAGTAGGTAATCAGGAGATCCAAATGTGCTTCATTAGACTGTTTAGCCTGAGGGTGGTTCCCCCTACCCCCCCATCCCCCCAGAATTAAGAGATCAGTGTTGTCATTTTAAATCCAAAGTTGGACGCAAGTCCATTAGTCCTGCCAACAAATTCCGATAGTGTTATTCTCAAAGTGACTGAAAACCATGTCTTCCTTTCTCAGAATACATAATTGCTTCACACTTTGTCCTCTGTTTTTGCACAAGCTTCATTTGTAAATTACAAACTTTTTTCATAAATATAAAATCTAAAGTAGTATTGAAATCTGTTACAGTTAGAGAAGAGCATGAATCTACAGAAGAAGCAAATGAAGATGAGCCTATTAAAATTAAAAAGCGCAAGTAAGTTTGCTTTTTCAATACTAAGTGGTCTGTGTAGGTTAAATAACTGAAGTTTTTCATTTGAGCAGTGTCTATACTGTTTTATTCTGCAGAGTGGAACAGAAACTAATAGGATTGGTGAACACAGTCAACTTTCTGCTATTTTACTTTAGAAGCTCAAGTACTTGATATTTCTCTGAGCTTAAATTCATGTATAGAGGAAATAGTATCTCCTTTGGAAATTATTTGAAATAGAAATAAATGGTGTAAGTTGGTGAATCCAAGGAATGTTTTGAGTGCAGTTTATCATAAATAGTTTACTTCTGTTACTTGTTTACCCAGCTTGTTAATTCCTGTGCACAAGATTTTGTTGCCAAAAAATCTAGCCATCTAGATTTTCGTAGTGATTATTCTGTTTTCATTCTGTTATAAAGGTTTGAGGGTTTTATTTAAGTCTTCTGATCTGTTTCGCCTATTGTAAGTGATGTATGTCACTTCACTCTGAGTTACTTATATGCACTGTTTTAAAAGTAGTTCTACCATTTTATTTGTTATTGTGTACTCTTAGCGATGATCATAATGTTGTTAGCAACTAGGGCGAAGTGCTCCGAGTAAACATAAGTCAACAAACAGCACACTCTTTTCCAGAAATGGTTTGATGATTGGTTGTATCGCATTACAGCCTTTTTCTGTTGTAATGTTTGTAAGGTATTCTCAATTCGAACTAAATCCCTTGGCCATAGTCTTTTCACAGGGCCGCATGGTCTTGAGCAGGAGAGAAGAAAGCAAGGGCAGTTAATGTAGAATCTGTTGCACATCTGGCGAGACCATTGAATACAACCAGAGTGTGCTAATTTCCTGGAGTCAGTTGTTGGCACTGAACTTACTGAGAATACCTTGGTTCTTGAGCTCTTTCAGTGTGAGAGCATTCATATTCAAGTCTCAAAGAGAGACTTTCACAATTTGTAAGCCTACGCTTCTGAAGTAATCTGTTACATCCATTCTGTCCTGGTATAGTGCAATTTCTGACCTACAGGCCTGACATAGTACTTCTCAAGTTACACTGTATGTTTAATTTTTTCCAGGAAAGATGATAACAAAGATATTGATTCAGAGAAGGAGGCTGCTATGGAAGCTGAAATTAAAGCTGCTCGAGAGAGAGCCATTGTCCCTCTGGAGGCTCGCATGAAACAATTCAAAGACATGCTTCTAGAAAGAGGGGTCAGAGAAATCTCTGTGTGTGTGTGTGTGTGTGTGTGTGTGTATGTGAGAAGGGGAGAGAGGGAGGGGGAGGTTCAGGCAGAGATCTCAATTCTTAGTGAATTCAGGACGCGTCGTGCTTTATATGAGGAAAACAATCTCATCCTTCCTCTGATTAATGAATGCGCTTGGTGCAAGACTCCATGTTTCAAAGAATGTTACAGTTGTAGCAAAATTTTTATTTCAAAGTAAGTGAAATTAAACAATATCAAGACAGATTTTTTTTAACTTTTTTCCCAAGTTAAGTAATTACCTAATTGAAAGCTGCCTTTGAAAATGAATACGACACACAAACTGGAGACATCCTTAAGATTTCTGGAAATGTTCCTACATGAGAAAAGCAGTAATTTCCACTGTAGTCTGTACACTCTTAGCCTTGAATGGGACTTTTTGCTTTTAGTTAACTAAATTTGAAATCTGCTTGATACCTATCAGTTTTGATAGATAAATTAGGCTATTAGAATATAAATTTATACAGTAACTTTAAAAAATGGAAGTGGTTCCAGCTATCTGTGCAGCTTTCATTTAGTTTCAATAGCTGGATTTTATGGGATTGTTTTAATAAAGCTTATTTAAGATGAGCTCGAATGTGTTTAAATCCATTTTTTTTTTTTTAGCAGAACTGTTTACACTCATAACATTTAGAAAAGGTATAGAGTAGGCATGGAATATGAGAACATAGAATCTCAAGGCTTTCTTCTGATGTACTTTATTTTTTTTCAAATGTCACACAATAGTAGTAGTAATTAAGTGTGTGTTGTTATTTAGGGGTTTTCAGAGCCAATTAGTGTTGGAACTTGCTGTGGCAGCCTCCATCATCTATTAGTGATGAAAACTTCAGGATGAGTTTGTTTCCCTATTTTCATCAGTTATCCTATAGTTTTCAAGCAAAACTGTGCAACTTCTGTATATTTGAGGAAACTTAACCATTAGTTAAAATTTGACTTTTTGTAATTAAAGGTCTCTGCTTTTTCAACATGGGAGAAAGAGCTACACAAGATAGTTTTTGATCCTCGTTACTTACTTCTCAACCCAAAAGAAAGAAAACAGGTAAAAGTTAAGTCAAATTCACTCCCCATCCAGACACAGCCACTACAGGCTTTATCTAAGTTCTCAGTTTGCTTTTTTTGTTCCTGCTAACCTTCTAGACTATCAGTGTTGCAAGGGATTTTTGTTATGATTAGGGTTTGTCTGGAAACAGAAGCAGCCAGCAAGAACAGAAGTGAGTTGATAGTTTTTATTTTTCCTGTGGTTGGAAGATCTAATATTTTAACGCAGTGAAAGTTATATGCATACAGAGAGCTTCCAAAACCTGAAAGAAATGGTGAGAATCATCAGTATCTGTTCAAAATATTGGTGTAATGAATTACCTATTTATTAAAAAAAAAAAAAAAAGGGGGGGGG